CTGGGCGTCCAGACCCTTAGTCGTGGTGTCTAAGGCGACGTCCGAGGCGGTTTGATGGGAAGCGGCTTCAACGTTCATCTCAGCTCTCTTTCGGATCGACCCTCAGGGTCAGACCGCTTGGCGCACGATTTCGCCTTTAGGTAGACGGGTGAAGAGGAATTCCTCCAGACCCTTGCGGACCGTCTCGAGGCGGAACTCTTCCAGCACCTCACAAGCAAAGGCATAGGTGAGCAGACTGCGAGCTGCTTCTTGGCTGATGCCCCTGGAGCGGAGGTAGAAGACAGCTTCCTCGTCCAGATGGCCGGTGGTGGACCCGTGGGTGCACTTCACGTCATCGGCGAAGATCTCAAGCTGCGGATTGGAGTGAGCCAATGCGTTGTCGGAAAGCAGCAAATGCTGGCTCGACTGCTTGGCGTCGGTTTTTTGGGCGTCTTCATGGACCTTGATTCGGCCGTTGAAAACAGCTCGTGACGAGTCTTCCAGGATGCCCTTGAAGAGCTCGTAGCTGTGACAATTGGGCATAGCGTGATCCACCCACATGTGGTGGTCGACCAATTGTTTGCCTCGGCCGAGGTAGAGACCGTTGAGGGTGCAATGGATGCCTTCACCGCCCAAGTAGGCTTGAATGTCGTTACGCACGATGGCGCCGCCATGGTTCACCGAGTGGGTGAAGAAGTTGGCGTCTCTTTCGAGATGGATCTTCAACGTCGCCAGATGGTAGGCATCGTTGCTTTCCTCGCCGAGCCGGTAATGGTCTACCACCGAGTTGGCGCCGCCAATGATTTCCGTGACCGGGCAAGTGAGGTATTTATCGCCGGTAAAGCCGGCATAGCTCTCGACCACCGTCAGCTCCGCGCTCTGCTCGGCGACGATCAAGTTGCGAGGATAGGAAACCGAGGCGGCATCTCCGGAAGTGGCGACAAAAAGCAGGTGCAGGGTGCGATCGATCTTCTTGCCCTTGGGCACGAAAACGAAGGCACCATCTTCGATATGCGCGGTGTTCAGCGCCACGAAAGGATGGCTGATAT